AGCTTTTGATATTTCAAGTAGTAATGATCATGTTTCAATGAAACTTGGTACATAGTTACTTGAGGACTGTGCAGAGACTAATTAGTTTTGGGTAAATATTTGTGCATATTAATCACCTTATTAGCATAATTAGTTAATTTTCAGCTTTTCACCTGATATCTCAAGTACTAATCATCACATTTCATTGAGACTTGTTACATAGATATTCTAGGACTGCAGAGACCTGATTAATTTTGGGATAAATAATTGTGCCTATTAATTACCTAATTTGCATAATTAGTTAATTTTTTGCTGTTCTATGGCTGTTGCACTGATGTCTAAAAGCCACTCATTGGATTTCAATGAAACTTTTAAAGAGTACCCATCACATTTCAATGAATCTAGGACTATACCCCATATTAGTTTTTGGTAAATATTTATGCTTCTTAATCACCTAATTAATATAATTAATTAATACTGATATCTCAAGTATTGATCATCACATTTGAATAAAACTTGGTACATAAGTGCTCTAGGACAATAGACAGCCTGATTAATTTTGGGTTAAAATCTGTTCATATTAATTCTCTAATTAGCATAATAATTAATATTATTTTGGTTCTAATCACATTTCAATGAAACTTGTTACATTGTGCAGACCTTATTAGTTTTACACTTAAATCTGTTCATATTAGTTACCTAATTTGCATAATTAGTTTTCTGCGTTTCCATCATCTCAAGTTCAAGTAATTTTGAATGTGTCTCCAATACTCTCAGCACACGGGAGTTCTTTCTAAGCTTTCTTTGATTTAATAATGTTAATAACATTAATAAAGGTAATTTTTTAAATGGCTGGAAGACATCCAAAGAGGCGCCGGGGGTAATTAGTGCAAGTGGTGCCCAGGTCAAAACTTGTCATCAGATAAGCGCATTGAATGTTGTACATGCACCGACCAGCTATTTACATGTTATTCATTAGTAAACCAAAGTGAGAACAGAAATGTACTGGTAATCGCATGTATTAAATAATATTTGTTGAGGAATACACGTTCCTGTAAGTAGCACCCCCTGGTGATGCAGCGCTTCTGTCACGTCAAAATGACATAGGATATACAAATTGTATTTACTTTATTAGTTGCCCTTCGTACTTGTACGTAAACTACAGAAACGTTTCTAGTACAGTCAAAATAAATCATGTATTAATGATTCAGTATATAAATCATGCAATTATCAGTTTAGATGCTTCTACAGTATTTGCTCTATTAAAAGTGCATCTTTGATAGAAGCACTCGTTATCCTACAGTTGCGTTTGTTTTATACTGATAGAGCAAATACAAACAAATGTTATTTTATTTGTACAAAATAAACCACTCACGACACTGAAAGGATTTTGTTTCACTTTAATGTTATCCATTGAAGGGCATAACTTGGAAAGGCAAGTTTCACATATGCTTATATGGGAAAGATTGAGAAGAGAATATGCATTGTGGGTAATCACAGCTTACTGGTACAGATATTGGAGACTGCCTGTGGTTGCAAACCACTCACTTTTGTAGAAAAATTAGTTTGAAGGCAATAGTGTATTTGACCAAAGTAAAAAAATATGCTGTATATTTTCTGTGTTTACATAATTAAGTCTTAATAGTTTTATTTTTGCTTTCTATTGTAAACAGTGAAGGTCCTAGTACAAGCACGGCAAATGACTTCAGTAAACCTGTTCGCGGCCATAGGAAACCTGGTATAAAACGAAAATGGATCCAAGGTGAGTAAAGACATACCAGTACTATCAGTATATGAAACTTTGAACATGTTTCAAAATCTACGTACAATAATAACACTTTAGAACACCAAATGGATTGTGGCAATTGTTAGATTTTGTTTGATGAGGAAAAGGGGTTTAGGTTTTACATCTGGTTGTGGAGTCTATGGAATTGAGGTTACCTTTTGCCACAATTACCTCCAGATCACCTTTAGGCAAGGTGTAGTACCTGTCAGCCTTGGGTGCCAACTTCCCGCATAACAAGTTTGGTTGACGTCAGTAAGGGCATACATTTGGCAGGGGGGATCCTAACTTCTTGTAGTGAGAACCAGTGTGACTGGCCTGCTAACAGGACGCTAAGGTTTTCAAAGTAAAAGTCACATCCGTTAATGTGATTTCGTTTTACTTACCCGTAAATCAAAAAATCACTATAATTCTATAATAACTATTCATAGACAACATTGTAAACAATTTTACACATTGCGTCAATAAGTCTAGTCAAATTTTTTTTTAAAAATATAAGAGTTGTTTGTCTAGTTTGAAATTGAATTGTAAACTGCATGATTATAGGAGTTGAAAGTGCTGATTCAACTCTGTAAAATACTTTGTTTTTGCTATTTTTCCTGAAGTGATGATTCAGTGAAAATAAAAACCAGTGAATTATACCTTTCTTCCTTTATTTTACATTCAACACATTAAAAATCAGTGAAAATAAACTCCATACAAAACAAGAAAGTTATTTCAGCTAAAAAAAGAAGTATTTTACAGTACATTACTACTGGCATGCTGGTGGTTGAGTATTCACTGTGAATGAATCAGTCCGCCATTTCAAAACCAGTTAGTTTTTTGCTAAAATTACACTCACATATGTCAGGCTTGTTGGTATAAAATAAAACAGTTCGTAAGAAGTTGCTTTCAACTTAGTATTTTAACTTCAAAAAAGAAGGGTTTTCATTCTTTTGTTCTCCATGTGATACAAATTCTAAATGTAGTGTGAAACCTTGAACTACCGGTTTATGATTTGACAGGTTTTAGTGTTGGATGACACTTCGATGTCAATGTGAATGTCATAACTCATAACATTTGTAAATTAAGGACAGATTCATTAAAAAATATCGAATGAGTGTTGAACTCAAAGATAATGTTACTTATTCCCTGTTGATTTCAGATAGTGATAGTGAAGAAGAGTCAGCTATTAGTAAAATAGTGAAAACACATAATAGGTAAGTATTCAGGAGTTTACTAACCCCTATATTAGAACATAATTCTTCCCACATACATGTACTCACATGCATATTTCTTGTTTTTTCAGTATTTTTTTTACATGAACAAAAAAAAACACCTACAATTTCTGGATAATGTTTTGAAATTATTTGTTGATAGTGTGAATAAATAAAGATATCAACAGACCTATGTTTGTAAGGGGGTGCACATAAATTTTGATTTAGGGCCTTACAGAAAATCAGCCCTGAGACTATTATTATTGCTTAACAGATGATTACTTTGTCATACATGGGCCAATATAATGGCTTGTGTCATTTTATCGAATCACATGAAATCTTGGGCTGGAAGTGGTCTATAAAGTTATTCAAACTTAGTACACAGACAATTCTATTTTTGTTGTGGATTCCTGTACATTTTTCTATCATGGACTTGTCATACTCGGACTAATCAAACTTGCCAGTGTACAATTTCATTGGATCTTTACTCAGAGCAGATTTTAAACTATGGTGCCAGCTTGCTGTCATGTTGTCATGTTAAAATGAGTAGCAGATCATTACACATCATTTGATTGTTGTATATGAATATATTTCAACGAAGATAATGTCTTTTTTTATGCTGATCAATTTCATTCAATATTGTTAATAATCTGATATTTATTTCTCACCTCATCAGAATGTGTGTTATTTTGCAACATCTCCATAAGTTCATTATATTCATCACTCATCATATTTTTAGTGAATCGTCATCTCCGAGTGCACACAATGACGCTATAGAAGATATGTTGAAAGACGGTATTATACAAGTTGCTGAGAAACGAATGACGAGAAGACAAAGACTGAGAATATTTCAAGAGAAGCCGAGAAATCGTGCACCATCCTCATCATCAGCGGCAGCGATGGTGGATGTAACACGACAGAAACAAAAGTGGGTGTGTCTGATTATTGGTGGTTTAGCAATCAAATCAAACGTCTATTTATGTTGACTGACTAAGTCAACATACAAATGATTGAACTATTGAACTTGCATGGATATGTCAGTGCTCAATATTCTGCCTGCGTTATATATTGTGTTCAAATTATTCATTCCACGTGATGGAGTCCAGTTGAATGGCATGCCCTCAAGATGATATACTTAATTATTTTCTCGTCTTTGCTTTCTTAATTTCAGAGTGAAAACAGAAGAGAGACTAGAGCAGTGTTTTATTTGCCATAAAATGATACCTCATTCCAAATATGCTCAGCATGTACAGGAAGAGGTTGACAGGCAGAGTGCTCCGTAAGTGGACATTCATCAGTTAATTGTACCGTTGTGTTTACCAAATATGCAAATATCATCGAATAAATTAGTTTGTCGCCTTTGATGTATGAAGTACTGTGAAATAATTTATTTTTACTGGAATTAATTTTTGCTGAAAAAACATTTTGGGTATTTTGTATGGAATTTATTTTCACTGATTTTTGGTGAGTTGAATGTAAAATGTAGGAAAAATGGTATATTCGCTGAATTTTATTTTCACTGAATCACTCCTCCAGCAAAAATTAATTTTAAGTGAAAATAAAGTATTTTGCTGTATAGTTCCAAATGCTAAAATTACAGTGTTGACAAGAAGTTTTTGTATATTTGGTTGTGATTGAGTTTTCAAGGTGGGACCAATAATTTGAATACATTTTTTTAGTAATTCAAAATTTATTACGCAGTCATTTCAATATGATAGTTTGCAATGAATGATTTCCAGTACTTGGGCATTTTAGAGTCTCTTCCTTCCGAATTTACATGTCTGTTTTACATGTCTGACATAGCGTCCAGACTAACTTTGAACATAAAACATTTTGTACTTCCTATCTTCCAACATAGTTCATCTCAATATGTTGTGTTCATTCAAAATTTTGTAATCCACCTTAAATATAACACCACATGAATAAGATCTCCTTGCCCTGTTATAATCAAATATGGCCAGTCTGATAGTTATTATTAAATGTTGATGTGAAAACAATGAATCCAGTATTTTATTTTATCTCTATTTAAAAAAAATTCAAATTGTGTATCTGTACAGTTCTACCTGACATTATTTCTCATGTATCAACACATCTGTACCTGTGGTTTGCACCTGCCTAATAATGTGATCTACTGTGGCATTTTTCAAATATTTGTTTATGCATGTCACGTTTGATTTCTATTCAGCATGGTGTATTTCATTGAATCCTTACTGTGTATGATTTGCATAAAATGTCATGACAGTGTAAATGGAATGTCATCCACAATTATTTTCATTCTTCTTATAAAGTAGTAATAGTAGTGGGGTGATTTTACAAATATTTAAACCCTTTCTGTTCTATTTTTCCTATTATTTCTAGAAGTCAAATAGAGGATGTCGAAATACTTGATGATAGCGACGATGACAATGCCAGAAACCATGGTAATAATAATAATGATAATGATAATGATAATAATTATAATGATGATGATGATGATGATGATGGAAATGATGCTGATGTAGATGATGATAGTGGTACTGAAATTAATTGGAATGAAATAAGCGATTCACCTATCAAAGCTTTCCGTGGCATTTCTAAACAACAAGACTCTTTGATTGATTATAAAAATCAGTTTAAGAAGAAAACCAGGACCTCAAAAGCCAGTAGCGATGGCTACAGTGCTGTCCCTAAAAAGAAGTTCAGCAGAGGGGGGAGTAGAGGTAGAGGGGGAAGGGGCAAAGGTCGAGGGAAGTGGAAGCGACGTGGCAGTAGAAAAGCGTGGAATAAATGAAATGTACTTGCCATACACTGTTATTATGTTTACTGTGTATGTAAAAAATCACCAATGATACTTATTTGAAGGGCAGTGGTCATTGTGAAGCACATGTTCAACCTTTGTGTTGCGCTCTTATAATAAAAATCATGAATACAAGTTTTGATGTGGGCTGGACATGCACTAAGTTCCGTTGATGACTCATTTGATACCTTCCAATAACTAAAGAAATTAGCTAGCTAAAGTTTGGCGGCAACTCAGTTTGTACTAGCTGGTCTGCATAAATCCAAGTTGCCATCTTTATTCGTATGAGACCCATATCGTGGTCATGGGTGGTGCAACGATCACCACCCTTTAAGACAAAGTTCTTTCTAACATATTTTACAAGGGAGAGTTCACATGAATTCCTACATGTTATTTATTTATCAAAATAAATTGAATCAATACTAGCAGGTGTACCTCTGTGTCTCAGGAAATATATCTTCTATGCATTACTGCACCACTCGCCAAATTTAAATGATAATCATCTGTGTTTACAAAGTAGGTGAGCTATTAATTGTAGCAGAACAAAATACTGGTTGTAGTGACAAGTCCCCTCTACAATTTAATTTTAGTAAAGATTTTACTATATATTTATTATATGTAGAGATTATTGTTTTCAATTGATATGTTTCCCAATGCTCAATACAACATTAAGAATTATGTTGCGTATGCCTTTATTTGTTAAGATAATATTTTTATTGACTGGGGAAACACATTTAAATAAAGGCATAGTCCCTATATTAAGAAATATACTGCCATATTTTTGTCTCTGCATAATCTGTGTCACATTATTTCTGTAATCTGAGTTATACTTGTGTTTTGTTTGTAGTTTAATCCACTCTGCAATGTGACAACGCTTGGGGATAAACTATACACATGTATTGAGGTAAACGGACACGTTTGCTGTACTTCATAGTACTCGATAAGCAGAGAAATCTGAATTTTAATTTGGTATATTTATGATTATTATATTGACTACATTTACATCATTTAGTATAACATTATTTGTCTCTAGAGGGCGCTTGTCAGCGTACATACATTGGTGGAAACATGTATTACTGTAAAATACTTTACTTTTGTTTGGAGTTAATTTTTGCTGAAGGAATGATTCAGTGAAAATCAAATCCAGCGAATGTACCTTTTTTCCTATATTTTATATTCAACTTGCCAGAAATCAAGAAATCAGTGAAAATAAATTCCATACAAATCATCCAAAAAGTCTTTTAAGCAAAAATTAATTCCAGCTATTAAAGATAAAGTATTATACAGTAGTTACATTTGCCTACGTCCTGTTTACAATAGTGCCCCCTAGAGGTAAATAATTGTAATCAAAACTGGAGATAGTTTACTTTATACAAAAGTTTGCTTTATTTGAAAAAGATATTTAAATTATGTTGTTTTTACATGTTGAATACCGGTAAGTACAAATATGCAAATCAATCTTTAACGTCAGCAATCTTAGAAAGCTTTGTAACTCTGTAAGAATCTCTGTTCACTCTAGGTACATGGTATTGTTTGCAAGGGTTGACACAGATGGATGAGAATGTTGGTGACACTTTCGTACCTTTCTCTCACTACTGTCAATGTAGGAATCATGAAAAAAAAATGTCCATCCCTGTCACCCCTGAAAAAACTTAACTTGTACACATCCAAATAATTGTTCAGATCATTGCTCATGTCAGTTAAAAATGTGCACATGAAAAAATCAAATCGAAAGACAATGACAAATTTGAAAGACTTTGAAAACAGAAAAAGGCATTTCAGAGTTGCACATTTTCACAACTTTCAGACATGATGTGAGTTCATGAAATCCTTAAATTAACTGATTGCATCCATTAGTTTTCGTTACATGCAATTATATTGTCACCATCAAAAATCATGATTTCCTGAAAGTAGATTATAGATTGATATTTATACATGGAAAATTATGTACAAACTTATTAAAAATGATTTTTGAAATTTTATATCTACTAGTTGATTATTCGTGCATGTTTTACTATCTAGTTATTAAAAGCACATCACCAGTTATGATTGCTTTATCAGGGTATTGTATGCTTGCAGTCTTCCAATAATAGTCTGACATTGTGCATTGATCATGCGGCTTTATGTTTTATATAAATTTTTCTCTGTTTTAAATGTACCAAATGATATAAAACAATGGCCAGCTCTTTCTCTCAGTATAAGTGTTTTCTGATTTTTACTGACAACAACATGTTGATTGTTGGAAATTTAAGATGAGCTGCAATGCTGCTAAACTATTGGCCAGAATGCTGTTCAAATGACGTGTTCAGAGCTCCATGGAAAACTGAATACAGTATGTACAGTGTTCACTCATTTGTTCACTAAATGCTCAGTAACCTAACCAAGTTGATCAGACACTTTTATTTTTGTTTCACTCTGATACTATTCCTAAACCTTTTTTGATCTTGACTCTTTGACATGTTTAATGATATGAATATTCACACATAACAAGAAATATTTGATGATTCTCTGGATTCTGAATTACTATGGTAATTTGGAATGGAGATGAATCTTTGTTGAATCCATGCGTGCCAAAACACGAACATGAAAACTGAACAATCAAATGGGAAACCGAAATTATCAACATTCTGAGCATCATAAAATTTTCTTATTTCTCATACTAGTCTCAAGACCTCAATGAAATTTTAGAAATAAACTAAGAATTATTCTGACTTTTTTGTAGAAAATATAAAAAATTTTATAAGTGAAGGAAATGTGAAATAGTACAGTAGCCTGAAGTATATTGCATAGCTATTCTAAGAACCCCGAAAAAAGTTTCTGGTCAGCATGGCACACTACCAAAAAAGTGCGAGGTGATTTTTAACCACTGCCCTAATATGCACAATGTGTACCCATCATATATTTTAGAAGAAACAAAATCTCATCATTTTTGACCAGAAACTTTTTTTTTCGCTTGGCCTAAAAGTTTGAAATGGTCTCTCGTACAAAACAGTTTTAGTCGAGGATCACACCACGCTGTGGTGATACATGATACATTGTACAATTGTCAAGATTAATCTTTGTGCAGTCTAATTCATCGGAACCATCAACGCAATCTTTAACCCCATTGCATAGACGACATTCTTCTACACACATGTCATCAGCACATTTCCATCCATTTATTGCCTTATTTTCAAAACCCTCGGCACAGTATTCTGAAATGAAAAACAAACATGAAATTCATGTGAGAAATGTGTTGGTAGATTCCTGCTTCCAATGTTCAACAAAGTTTTTGCATGAGTATTTATTTGTCATGCCCCCAATAAACCTTAGATACAAAGGACCATTCTCTTCTGTCGTCACAACTACCGTTTCCCTGATCTGTGTTAACCATGGTAATTGAACAGTGGATGTGATGATAGTACAGAATGGAACATTTAAGGGGGGAAAAAAAGTCTCTTGCTCTCAAGATCTTGACAGCCATGGCTAATGGATGATTTTTCTTTTACTGTGAGACCTTACATATTGCGCGAAAGACGCAGGCTGAATGTCTGCGGCAAAAATCAAACAATATGATTTTGAATTTTTTGTGTCATAGCTCAATGTCTTTGAGAGGGGAATATTGATAGAGATACCCTTACTTCATCAAAGTTGACCATCACCCGAAGTGAATAACACATTATTAAACATGAAAATACCCCCAAAATATTTAAACTTGTGTTTGTCGAATTCCATGTGATGCTTTGATAACTTTTGTTGACTCCTGTGTGCGAAGCACAAAAAAGGAGTTTTTGCAGTTAGTATGTCTGTCTGTGTGTCTGTTCCACTGATATCTCAAGAACCATACATTGATTTTTAATGACACTTGGTGCTTAGATGCTCTGGGCCAGTGCGCAGATTTGATTAGATTTTGGTAAAAATCCATGCATATTAATTACCTAATTAGCTGATTTTTAGCTGTTCCATGATTGTTCCACTGATATCTAAAGAACCACTCATTGGATTTTGATGAAACTTTGCACATAGATGCTCTGAACTAATGCACAGATTTGATTAGTTTTGGGTAAAAATCTGTGCAATATTAATTACCTAATTTGCATAATGATTAATCATTTTTTGGCTTTTCCACTGATACCTCAAGTACTTATCATCACATTTCAATAAAACTTGGTACATAGATATCATAGGACACTGCACAGACCTGATAGTTTTTAGGGTAATATCAGTACATATTAATTACCTAATTTGCATAATTTTCAGCTTTTCATATTTCAAGTAGTAATCATCACATTTCAATAAAACTTAGTACATAGATGTCATAGGACACTGCACAGATTGTTTATTTCTGCTATGTTTCGAAAAAACAGCACTTTTGAAGCGACTACTTTGCTTGCCCTCAGACCTCATTTGCATATGGGGTGTCACCGTGTGAAAATACCGATTTTGATTTCAGGGACGAATCAAAAGAAAACTGTAGTATATATGGAATAATCTTTATTTCTCATCACGATTGATGATGTATGTGTGATCATGGATAGTACAGAAATCTTACCTTGATGTTCTGCTTTACATATGATGGCGTCCTCATCAGAGCCATCTTCACAGTCAACTCTACTGTCGCACACTAGACGTGGTTCTAAGCATTCTCTTAAGGGGTCCTTGAAATTAGTGCAGCGAAACGGTTCACCCAAGAACTGAGATAACCCTTTGGATTCATACTTTTCACAGGCTGTCAATAAATATGTAAAACTTCAGTTCAGGGCGAGTTCAAACTTTTGCAGTATAACAACATTGGTGTGTACTCAAAAACAGTTGAAAAAATAAATTTCATTCAAAAAGATCTTATCCTTGATAAAAACATGTTAATTTGGGACATTGACACATATTTTCAATTCTGATTTTCAAAAGGAATTTGTTTACTGTGTATACCACTTCTCCATTATTTGAACAAGGTGATAATAAACCTTCAAAATATTCTCAATTTAAACATGTTTCAACTGAATATGTTTATTAGTTATTTTGTGGAGCAAAAGATGCTAGTAGTCAATTTCTATTCCTCAAATTTATGGCATTCCAAATACATGTGAAACCCAACTATTGTTACTAGATTGCTGGTAAGTAAAAAAAAATCTGTAATCTGAATCAGAAGAAATATTTTGTGGTGATACCTGTGAAGGCTGCCTCATTATTTTTCCAGTTTAGTGATTTCATTGGTAAATATGCTCAATGATGATGACAGATGGAGAAATGTGTTTTAAAAGGTGTAAAGTTAAAGTAATTTGATTGGAGGAAGATTTTCACAGAGTCATATTTTAAACATCTGCATGTATACATGGTACAGGAATATCAAATTGGTTTAAAGGCACATGATGCTCTGTTGCAAATTGTCTATGTGATGGGCACTCTGAATTTGAATTTAATCTGGATGATGCAATGAGCCTTTAAAGATCCCTAATTGTTTCATAGTCTGAAGATACATATGCACAACAGTAACAAACAAAAGACTGACAAAGATACGTGATGTAATCAATGAGGGTTATGCATAGTCCCATGGTTGGAATACTGGGCATTTAATACTGTACACTTTAACATGTGAAGATACTTACTCATGTAAATATCCGGGATTGTACAACTCACTAATGTTATATATAATATAACCACTGCACACAGTATGGACTTCATGGTTGCTATGACAATCTTAGATTCAAGTTGACCTAAAGTTGGTTTACAGAGACAATCATTAAGAATTGGAAATCAAAATATGTAACATTGTTACCAGCACACTGAAACTAACTACTAGTAATTTCTTTAAATGAAAGTTGCATTCTGATTATGCAAATCTGTGGGTGCCATCTTCTGATCAATATATACACAATAACATGTTAGATTATGGATTTAGCTGCAGGATGTGAATTAAAGGTACATGTAGCAACAGAGGAAAACTAAAATTGATCCGTGATTCAGATATTCACTGAAATGATTGCATGCTTACTATAACAACCTATTCATCATCTGAAAGCTTAGATATAGATGAATACGGTAGTACATATACCAATGTATATGTACCAATGTTTTTCTAAGGAATTACCTGTCAGCAACTTTCACTATTATGTTTTTTGACTAATGACAGTTTTTTTCTAACGCTTTCCGTCACGCGAAAGACCTGTGAAATGCACAGAACGTTTATGCCATGTTTTTTTTTGTCTGCCTCACAGACGTGCTGCCGATAATCCAATCCAACAGGTGGTCAGGGTTATGTATTGGATCATGGAGCTAAAAAAAGCTCCATGATTGGATGTATAACATTGAGCACAGTCCCGTGATAGAGGGACTGTGCATTGAGGTAAAAGTGTCTCCAAGGTACAAGATTGATACCAATAGCCACAAATTGAAGTGTTACTTGTAATAGTACAATGTATATATATGTAATGTAGTTGAACTAGTATTTCGTATATCTCACTGTATATATTTATATAAAACACCTTATACCGTACTAAAATACCTCTGTTGGACAGAGCCTTTGGTTATATTGCCATATGCGTACGATACTGCGCGGCCCTGTGTCATAACATTGATCGCAGTTCCACACAATCAAGTGTATCGTTAACTGCGCTACACAGAGTCACAATACGTACCAAGCTCACGGGCGTCGAATCAAGTCGATCGACTACCAATTGTTTCCCTTGTACGTCATTTTGTGTTACAACTCAACATTTCGAACGGCAAATAAATTATGACAGAAATACCTTCGCTTGAAAATAGTCAACCGCGCCCAGGTAGACAACAATGGTGTTATTCGTTAGGTGGTGCGTAAGTATTTTGTGAGATTCGGGAATGCCAGACTTTTTATGTTCGTGATTTCGATAGGGGTGATATCTCCGATGACAAATTCGAACAAGGTTAAATTCAATTCATACTTAATGTAGACAATTCGTAAAACTTACCCGAACGACAAGTGAAAGTGATATTTACAATGAGTGCGTAAAACCAGTAGCCGTCATCTATTTTACATGAAAATACTCCACGAAGGTCAATTTGCGAATGTAATTAGAGTGCGCCCTCAATAGTTTGATAACACCACCAAGTCAGTTTACATGAGTTGAAATATATGTTCTCACACACATTTTTCCCGAGCCTAAAATTGTGTGTTTGGTTCATGTAGATTATGTTATGGTCCTAGTGATCCCTTTACTTGTAAATGATATACGCGCTGCTTTTAAACTAGCCCTGAGTACAGTCCTGTACGGGGGCCGAATGATCAGAGGAAGAAGGCCAACCTACAGGACTGTACTCAGGGCTACTTTTAAACTGGCCAATGAACCGACTATTTTACTTCCAGGACTTTGAGTTGATGATAGCGGAAAAGTAATAATCAGTTGGGGGAGGGGGGTGTCCGGGTACAGTCAATTACTGATGGCATAACAATGAGTATTTGATGCAGCCCCCCCCCCCCCCATTTAGCACAGTTTCTAGCGAAATACCATTGGTGATTGGAAAGAAGTTGTTACTGTGATTGAAAAAGCAACCGCAACATCATATAGTTCAAATGTAAAACATAAAATTTCTACTTTGTTGGCATGACTGAGCTATATTGCTAAACTGTTGATTGGTTGTTTTTTGTTCACAGTGATGCATCCCCACAAGCCATGTTTTACACACAAAAAATGAATTGAACGATGCGTCGATTTCACAGCGGAAGACTTTAAATTATTTTAGAGAGAAGTAGCGATGAAAAATCGGGAACAAATTATTAAATAGTGCTTATCTATTTACTTGAATGTTCAACCCTCAAGTGATTCCGTGTATCAATCCTTTGTAATCATAATATGAACTTTCTGACTTATTTAACGAGAGACAAACACTTAGTACAACAAAGCCGTAAAGTTTCCAATTCAAACTAAAACTAGAGGTTTATTGTTGTTGTTTTTTTTCCCATATTATACAGTAGAAGTAAGTAAGTAAATAAATAAATGTACATGTATAAATAAATAAACAAATGAATAAACACACAAATAAATAAACGAACGAAGGTATAAGAAAGTATGTATAATACGACTGGGAAGCAGAAATAGCTATAGCGAAGCTAGTCAAGCCTGCTCCCCAGAGTTTGACCCGTATGTAATCTTAAATGAATGAAATATAAAAGGCGACAAAAGGGGCATATTGTTCTTATAAGGATTGTCTAAGGTAAAAAAAATAAATAAATAAATAACATAAATATTATACACACAAATAAATAGTAACTAAATAAGTAACTTTATAATAAACTAAATAAATAAATATCAGAAAAAAACATGTAGCGAAATTATACGGCATAGGGCACCGGCAAACAAACACAGTGCCATACCATACCTTGTTATCCAAATAAACAAATAAATAAATAAATGAAAATAAAAAGGAAAATGTTGAAAATACACAGAAAAAACATGCTTATATAAAAGAGATGGAATATGGGGAGATCAAGTAACCTTTAGTTCTTTTTTAAAACCGGTTCGACTAACAATGTATTTTACACGTGCTGGCAAATTATTCCAGAGTTTAGCGCCCTGGAAGTCTATTGAAAATTGGCCAAGATTAGTATTCTTAGGGGGAAGTTTGAAGCTGGATTGCGATGAAAACGGGTGCAGTGCTGATGATCAGGTAAAGTGAAGTAATTTTCTGTTATCCGAGGGAGTCTATGGTGGTGCAGATCATGGATGAAAATGCATAGTTTGTATTTGAATAGGTCATATATATTCAACATTCCCAGTGAGTGAAATAATGGTTTACTGTGTGTGAAATTATCTTTGAAAAGTAGGATACGTGTTAGTTTTATTTGTAGCTTGTATATTGGGTCCAATGTTGTTTGATACGTACTACCACAAACTTCAAGTCTATTTGATATGTGCGGTAAAATTAGGAAATTATATATTATTAAGAGAATTATAAATTTGAGGAGAAGATAGCGTACTTTGGCAATCAGTCCAATCGGGGTGTAATTTTTTTTCATAATTTTGTTGATGTGGGGTTTCCCTGCAGGTTAAGTGATTGTCAATAGTTAAGCCAAGATATGTTGTGGTGTTGGTTTCATTTATGGAGTACCTAAGTCTGATAATTTCTGTTGTGCAAATGAGAATATCATGAAGTTGGTTTTATCTGTGTTGGCTGTGCACCAAAGGCTAACCAAGGAAGGTTCGAGTCTATGTCAAGTGAATTAGGAATAGGATTGTTAAAAGAGTGAAACCGGTTAGAATCGTCAGCAAAAAACGATGAGGAGGAGGGCGGATCATTTATATAAACCAAAAAGAGTAGGGGGCCTAGAATAGATCCCCGAGGAACACCATACCTAATGGGGAGGGGTGTGGAATTACAACCATATGAATGAACATACCGAGTTCGGTTAACAAGATAATTTTCAAACCAATTTAGGAGAGTACCTCGATTGCCAATGTGGGATAATTTGGAGAGGAGGATATTGTGGTTGATAGTGTCAAAGGCCTTTGCAAAATCAAGGAAAACACCAAGGACTATATTACCTTTGTCAATGTCTTCAATAATTCAGGGCGAGTTTACTGCTGTACTTTTTACGAAAGCCATATTGATTCTTGTGTGTGTAAGTTTTGTTTTTTGAGAAATTGCTGAAGTTGTTTGTTAATACATTTTTTCTAAGATTTTTCTGAGTACTGGCAAAATAGAAATCGGTCTGTAATTACAGGGCTGGTGAACTGCATGCTGATTGGCTGATTACATTTATTGTATTCAAGTACTGGCTCAACTGCAGTTTATAATATTTCCAAAGATGGTGGCCTTGTACCGAGAGTACTATTTAAATTGTCGGGATTTTCAATGACAGCTTTGATTCACTACAATACCCTTTTCAAGTCAAAAGTTCAAAAGTGCAGTAAGCAAAATGACAATGCTCTCCTTGAGGAGGAAACTCAATGAAGAGTCCGGGGGGGCAGTTGATACATAGCTGGGTAGGGAGTGCCCCCGAGTGCTCAAAAGTGTGATCATTTTTATACCTGGATAGTGACAAAATCTATACCCATATTTATACCAAAGTACCATTTCTGTCATCGCTGTTTATTCCAATAGAAGCACATGTAAGCCAACAGTTGCATTGTATATTAATTTATTAAAATATGTATTTTGACCACAGAAACACCCCTGTCACTTACATAAAAGTATATTATTAACGCAATGTTAATAAATATTACCAACATTTATACCTATCTTGACTAGAAATCCTGACGACGACTTTTGCCCCGAAAATGCACCCAGGTGTTGAGTCACATGTGGAACACGTTTCAGTGATGGATCCAGCAAAATGTATTGGGGGGGGGGGGGGGGCAAAATCGCAAAAAACTATGCGAATCCCAAATAATATAATT